AAAAAAAAAAAAAAAAAACTTATTTGGAGCCGGGCACCGGTGGCTAGCACCTATAATCCTAGTTATTCAGGAGGCTGAGATCTGAGGCTCATAGTTCAAGGCCAGCCCAGGCAGGAAAGTCTGTGACACTCTTATCTCCAATAAAGCATCAGAAAACCACAAGTGGTGCTGTGGCTCAAGGGGTAGAGCACTTGCCTTGAGCTGAGGAGCTGAGGAACAGCACCAGGCCCAGAGTTCAAGCCCCATGCCAACAAAAACAACACAACAACAACAAAAGCTTTTTTGGAAGCTGGGTGTGGTGGTACACACCTGTAATCCCAGCAGTCAGGGAGGCTGAGGCAGCTCTTGACTTGGAGGCCAGCTTGGGCTGTCTAATAAGACCCTGTCTCAAAAACAAACAAACAAAACCCCACCAAAAAAGCCTTGCTTTTTTTTTTTGTTGTTGGTTGTGGGGCCTGAACTCTGGGCCTGGGCGCTGTCCCTCAGCTCTTCAGCTCAAGGCTAGCGCTCTACCCCTTGAGCCACAGTGCCACTTCCGGCTTTTTTCTTTTTGCTTATGTGGTGCTGAGGAATCGAACCCAGGACCTCAGGAATGCAAGGCAAGCGCTCTACCACTGAGCCACCTTCCCAGCCCCCCTCCTGAATACCTAGGTTTATAGGCGTGAGCCACAGCTCTATTTCTTGCACAGCCTGGGATGATTTCAAACTGTGATCCTTAGATTTCAACCTCTTGAGGCACTAGGATTACAGGCGTGAGCCACAGCACCTGGCCTTAGGTTTACTCTTAATCAACTTGTCCTTGGAGAAAGGACATTGGAAGGACTGGAAGTAGGTGACAGATTCATAGGGGTTTAGGGAAGAACAGGCTTCCTGCCCAGAGGCAGGGAGGAAGGTCTGATGGGTCCCATGGGGTGGCCGGCAGGGTAACGCTGTTCTCTCCTGGGCTTTCTCCAAGGAGAGCGTGCCTGTGTCCAGCTACCAGCAGGCAGGGATTCCCGAGGACCTGAAGAGGAAGATTGCATGGCTGGGGATCAACATGCTCCTGAAGATGGTGAGCTTGTGGGCCGCTTGGGTGCTCAGGCCCAGCTCGAGCCGACTGTGAGGCGATGAGGTGCTGAGTTCTGCTTGGCTGGGTGGTGGGCGGGAGGGGAGCCAGAGTCACACGCTGGAACACTTGCTTACAGGTAGCCTAGCCCCCCTCCCCCCATGCTTATGTGCCCCCAGTTCCTGCTGAGCCCTTTCTCAGTGGCACTTGCTGTGAGCTGTGGGAAGGGTTATGAGCAAGATCTGTCCCTGCCCAAGCTGCCCACAGCCCCAAATGGCTGAGGCAGTGTTGTATGTTAACCACTACTTCATTCATTCATTCATTCATTCATTCACTCCTGTAGTAGTTGCTGAGCACCTTCTTCAGGCTAGGCACTGAATGAAGTGTTAGGCTACAGCAGTGAGCCACACAGATGTGACCACCATGTTCAAAGGGAAAACTGGCAAAGACAGAGAGGATCAGTACAGGGTGCCCAGGTAGGAGGGGCCTTTCCCAACCCCGTGCTTCATCCCAGAAGTGCAGGAGTCACCTGCATGAGGAAAGAGAATGGCCAGTGCAAAGGCCCAGGGGTGAGCAACAGTAAGGAGCGATGGAGATGATGTGAGAGCTTTCTGCAGAGGGGGGTCTGAAGAAAGGAGTGTTTTGGGGCCAGGCCTTGGGGGTGGAGTCGTGGGGGAGGATGGGAGGAACAAGCAGTGAGGCCTGGCCTCCGTGAGGGGGCCGCTCTTTTTCATGAGGCTGCAGCCAGGGCTCTCAGCAGTGCTCTTGTCCACTTGGGGTTCACCTGGCCATATCTGGGGATTCGCTTGACTGTTAGAGTGGGGGTGGGGAGGGGGCGGTAGGAGGGGCACAATCCTGGCACCTGGTGTGCAGAGGCCAGAGAGACTATAAACGACCAAGAGCCTAGGGTTATGCTTCCATTCCCCGCCATGATGAACAGATGCCCTGGGCTAGAGGGTACTCTGTTTGCTGGTGGGTGAAGGGGAGGTAAGGTGGATCACCAGTGGGTGGGATGCAGAGGATCTTGGGAGAACTCCTCAGGAACTGTGGGAGGACGCCGGGCAGTGTCTGAACCACACCAACACTGCAGGCAGCTCGTTCACCTTTGCCACCTACTATCTGGAGGCAGTGGAGGGCAAGTCTTCTTAAAGAAATGTAGCCAGGTGCCCGTGACTCACACCTGTAATCCTAGCTACTCAGAAGGCAGAGATTTGAGGATCAGAGTTCAAAGCCAGCCCAAGAAGAAAAGGCTGTGAGATACTTAACTCCAATTAACCCATAAAAATCCAGAGGTAGAGTTGTGGCTCAAGTGGTAGAGCATCAACCTTGAGTGAAAAAGCCAAGAGAAGGTGAAAGACCCTGTTCAAGCCTTAGTATCACACAAAAGTAAAGAAATGCAAGGTGCTGGTACCTCACATCTGTAATCCTCGCTACTCAGGAGGTTGAGATCTAGAGGACTGAGATTGAAGTTAGCCCAGGCAGAAAAGTCCAACTCAACCAGCAAACTGCTGGGCTGGAGGAGGCATGGCTCAAGTGGTAGAGTGCCAGCTGTAAGCAAGCAACCCCAGCAAGTGTAAGGCCTTGAGTTCAAACCCCGTACCAGCACATTACACACACACACGCACACACACATGCACGCGCGCACACACACACACACACACACACACAGAGCCGGATGCTAGTGGCTCTTGCCTATAATTGTAACTACTCAGGAGACTGAAATCTGAGAATCATGTTTCAAAGCCAGCCTGGGCAAGAAAGTCTATGAGACTCATCCCTCAAAACTACTTAGAAAACTCCAGAAGTGGTTCTATGGCTCAAGTGGTAGAGCGCTAGCTTTGAGCACAAAGAGGCTCCAGCCACAGTGCTCAGGCCCTGAGTTCAAAGACTGGCCAAAAAAAAAGTTAGAAAAGAATAAAAGCTTTTTTTCTTAAGCTTTGATTTACAGTAGTCCCTGCACAAATTCTGAACTGAGGACTTTGAAGCAGCCAGGCTGTGTGAAATGTGTATGTCTTCGCCATTGTCACCTCATTGTCTGCCTGGTACCGAGGTGGTGAGGGGTGACGGTCCTGCGTGATACCATCTCTTTGTAGATCTTTGTGGATAACTTTGTGCACGGGGACCTTCACCCGGGGAACATCCTGGTCCAGGGTGCTGATGGACTGTCCCCAAGCCAGGAGGAGCAGCTGCAGCAGGTGGAAGTTGGTGACACGCTGACGGTGGCCATGGTGCCCGGCCTACGCCCCCTGCGACTGGTGCTGCTGGATGCTGGCATTGTGTCTGAGCTGCAGGCCTCTGACCTGAGCAATTTCCGGGCAGTTTTTCTGGCCGTGGTGATGGGGCAGGTAAGACTTGCTGTTAGACGTGAGACTCCTCAGCCTTGTAAAGGCCCTCATTTGTCAGGCTGCTGCTGCTGGCCATGAGCACCAGGCCTGATAAACGGAGCAGTTCATGTTGGTGACCGTGTTGTATGCCTGTGGTTTCTCTTTCTACCAGTGCAATGTGCAAGCAGTCAGGGGGGCACTGGCTGCTGCTGCTGTGTCTCCTCTGTATCTTCCTCCTCCTTTTTATGTCAGTACTGGGTAAGAACTTAGGGCCTTATAATCTCACCTTAGCTTTTTCACTCAAGGCTAGTTTTCTTCTCCACTACTTGAGCCACACCTCCACTTCTGGCTTTTTGCTGGTTAACTGGAGATGAGAATCTCATGGAGTTGTCTGCATGGCCTGGCTTTGACCCATGATCTTCAGATCTCAGCCTCCCGAGTAGCTAGGATCACAGGTGTGAGCCCCTGGCATCTAGCAGACACCATCTTTTGACCAAACAATGGCTGTTTCCCATTTGTGTGCTTCGCTGCAAGGCTGGAGAGAAGCAGCAGTATGGAGTATGTATGGAGCAGTATGGAGATTGTATCTTCCACGTGGGCAAGATGCATTGGAATCTGGAGTGGATGTCCTTTTTTTTTGGGGGGGGGAGCTCTGGGGATTGTTATTAGAGAGAAAGTACTCAGCAGAGCCTCTATATCAAGGATTCCTGGGAAGAAATCCTCTAGCTACCTGGAGGAGAATTCATTGAGAAAGATCCTACTTGAGAAGCTTCTGAGGCCAGGCAAAGCTGGAGCCGTAGGCCAGTTTGCAAGTGTCTCCTGGTTAAACCTCTGGGTGCAGTGGTGGGGCTGGGGTGTTCCTCTGTGCAGGTTTGAATAGAAGATCAAGACCACAGTACCGGGAGGAATAGCTGTGTTCCTTGGGCCATGCAGTGAGAGGTGACAGGCATTTGAGGTGATGACTGAAGGCACACTTCAGTTTCAAGGGAGTCCTGGGAAAGTCAGGAGAGGACAGGCTGGAGCACAGGGGCTGGGGAAAGCTGGGAGCAGGTAATTCTGCATAGGAAGAGAGCCCCAGGGAAGCCTGCTTCTCTCCCACCCTGCCCTGCTGGCAGGTTCTGGTTCTGCCTGGCCAGGCGATCACAAGGCTGCATGGAGCATAAGCTGCAGGACCACAGCTCTACCCTCTGCACCCTGTGTGGTTCAGGAAGGCAAAGCAGACCTAGACTGCCAATCACAAAGAGACTTGGGGAAGACTGGCTAGTTACCAGGCCTAGTGGAGGGTAGAAGTTGAAAAGGAGGGAAAAAAAGCCCAGGATGGGAGACAGAAGAGGACTAGAGCAATGAAGAGGTGAGGGGAGGTCTGCAGAGCCTGTGGTTTGTGCTCATTTAGCTCTACTGTCATACTTCCCTTTGTATTTTCCAGGGCCAAAAAGTGGCTGAGCTCTTCCTGCGTCATTCCCGGGCCAATGAGTGCAAGGACGTGGAGAGGTTCAAGGCTGAGATGGCCACGCTGGTGACCCAGGCCAGGAAGAACATCATTGCCTTGGAACAGGTGGGCAGATGTCCCCTTGAGCCTCTGCCTTTGGTCTGAGGGAAGCCTCGGGCTGGGAGAATGGGGGAGTAGAGAGGGCTTCAAGGCAGGTTAAAACACAAACACAATGCCTTTTCTTCTCCTAGTCTTCCTGGAGGCATGAGGAGGGCCTTTAAAACCAAGGCTCTTCAGAGTGGCTGCTTGGCTAGGTTCTTCTGGGATAGCTTAGGGACCCCCTTTATTTTTGGGTGCTAGGGCTTGAACTCAGCTGTGCATTTTTGCTTTGCTTTTTCACTCAAGGCTGGTGCTGTATGTACCATTTGAGCCATACCTTCACTTTTTGCTGGTTAACGGTAGCTAGTCTTCTTGGCTGGCTTTGTACTGCAGTCCTCAGATCTCAGCCTCTTGAATAGTTAGCATTACACATATAACCCACTGGTGCCTGGCCGGGGTCACCTCTCTTACCTTGGGTGCAGCTAATGTGGAGATAGCTAAACATGAAGGGAAGGAGAAGCCCAAGAACATGCCTTAAGCCCATGTCCCTAGTTTAGGCCTGATCTAGAGTCTGTCGTATTTTATACATAGCTGTAATCACTTGCCTGTCTCCTTGTTAGCACAAGGTTGCACCTCAGGGAGCCAGTGCGCTGCTGACCTGGTCTGCTCACATAGGATTTTTGTATGGGGACGATGTAGTAGGTAAACAGGATGGGCCATTTGAGACTTGTTCTGAAGACATCCGTAACCTGAATCTTCCCTGAAAGTTGAACCTGTGCGGGTTCTTTCCTGGAGTTTCTCCATAACTCCTTACACACACATGTGTATGGTGTGTGTGTGTGTGTAGGAGAGTGTAGCTGGGGGAGTGTGTGTGTGTGTGTAGGAGAGTGTAGCTGGGGGAGTGTGTGTGTGTGTGTGTGTGTGTGTAGGAGAGTGTAGCTGGGGGAAGCAGTCCCAGAAAGGAAATAGTCTGGACTTCTCCACCCCTAGTAGGCTCTCTTTTGTTTTTCAGCTACAAGTTTCTAAACTTCTCTCCAATGTCTTTAAGCTACTGATGATTCACAAGGTGAGACCACCTTCCCTCCTTCATTCTGAGCACAGTCTCCTGGAAGCCTGTGGGGGGAGCTGGATGGGAATAGGGTGGTGCGGGGTACTTGTGTTATATTCATTTATGAAGAGCTGCTGTTGTTCATTTCCAGGTAAAGCTTGAGAGTAATTTTGCTTCAATTGTGTTGGCCATTATGGTGCTGGAGGGGCTCGGCCGCTCACTGGACCCCCAGCTGGACATCCTGGAGGCAGCGAAGCCTTTTCTTCTCAAAGGATCAGTATCTATCTTCTGACCTGGGCAGTGGGCAGGACATGAAGGCTGCTGCCAAAGGCCTGGCCTGTGGTAGCTGGTGGTCTAGAACCTGAACTGTTTTCTGGGCTGTGAAAAGCTTTGGGTTAAGTGGGAATAATGGGAAGAAGGCTCTGTCTATGCATTTGGGGAGTGGGGCCTGGTGCTGGGGGCACCATTCTAGTGAAAATATCCTACCCAAGTGGATGAATAGAATGTTATTTGTTTGATTGCTTTTATCTTGTTTAAATTTTCCACACTCTTTGGGTGGTTTGTGAGTTCTCATATATAGAGTAGAAAGTGCCATCAAATCCCAAAGTCCTACCTATGCTTTCCAATATAAATATGTGTATTTATTAATATGGACTCTTATTGGTTGAGAGTACACACACATTGTTCATTTATAAATTATACAGGTGCTGTACCACTAGCAAATCTTTCAAGCTGTAATACATGACTAGAGCAAATTCCACTGAGTTTCAAACTACTTTTTGCTAAACTTTTACACGAGAGTAAGGAACACTTTCCTAGCATTGATCAGGCCTTGGGTTTGATCCTCACCGTCACTAAAAAGCAAAACAAAAACCAAAGGAACGATGTGACTTGACCACTAGGTACAGAACCGCCCTAACCCTTTTGGGGTGCGTGTGCTGTGCCCGTGGTGGGGCTTGAACTCAGGGCCGCGAGCCCTGGCTCTGCCAGTGAGCCACGCCTCAGGCGGGCATTCTCACCTGAGAAGCCGGGATCAGGCGTGAGCCCCGCGCGCCCGCCCGCCCGGCTGGGGAGCCTTCCCGAGGCAGGCCCCTCGGCCCGGCCGGCCCGGGCGCCCTGCGTGCCGCTGGGGGCCGGAGGATTGTGGTTAGACGTGGGGGTCCGCTCGGTGGGGAGCCGCAGGAGGGAGCGGAATGAAGAGGCGCTCCCACACCTCGCTCGTCCCGAGGCCGCCCTGCGCCCCGGCTGGGCGGGCGAGCACCTCCCCAGCCACGTGACCCGGGAAGGCGGGGAAGGAAGGTTCCCACGCACCACCTGCAGGCCGTCCTGGGGAGGTGGGTGGCGTGGTGACGTCATGACGTCCTGACGTCCAGGGACGGCGCGCAGGGAGGTGGCGCAAGGGGCGGGTCGTCCGGAGGACGGTGGTGCGGACGCAGCATGTCGGCGGTGACCCGGTTGGCGCCTCTGGCTCGCGTCGGAGGCCGCCTCTTCCGAGGTAGAGGCGCGCTGGCGGCTGCAGGCGGTGGAGTCCGTCAGTGAGTGTCGGGATGCAGGGAGGGCTGCGCGCGCTCGGAGGCAGAGCGCTGCGTCCGGAGGCCCTCACCTTGAGGCGGACAGGGCGGGGCCGCTGCTGGCGAGGGCTTCGCCTGAGGCATGCTGGGAATTGTAGTTTACCGGGCAATTTAGGGTCATCCGAGATAGGTAGTGGGGCAGATTAGGGGTGTCTTGGGACAGTGGGGACATTTTCTTCAAAGTCAAGAGCAAGGGCTGGGCTTAGTGGTAGAGCGCTTGCCTAGCATGCACGAAGCCCTGGGTTCGATTCCTCAGTACCACATACACAGAAAAAAGCCGGAAGTGGCGCTGTGGCTGCCCTTGAGTCTCACCCTCT